CATTGTTTACCTGCTGAGAATCCAGCTTCACCGGCCCACACCGTTTTAAAAAGAATGTCTCTGGACCAAATGAATCAGTTTCTTGTGACTCACCGGCGTCTCGGTGCATTCTTCTGCAAATGCATTGTGTCAGCTGGAGTGTGGTAAAACTGTTGCCGCTGGAAGAGCGATGTGATCTGTGAGAGGTCTGGGCATGATTCTGCTTACTGCTGCACAACAGGGAGCGGGATAGAGCATACCAGATGGAGATGGAGAAAAAGAGTTGCAGGGGCGACAGTGAATAAGTGCAACTTGGAAGCTCCCTGTCAGTAGTGACAGACAGCTCTGGGTTTTGGAGTTGTCAGCACTTCTCTTAGAAAGACTTCTTTTTTTTTTTTTTTTGTTTACAGTGCCTACAGGCTACATTCTCTTCCCCATTCACACCAAGCTAAGTGCAAAGGTACAGCTTTTTTGATTGCGAGTCAAAGTAGATAATTTAGTCAAATCCCCCACCCATACATTCAACACCATATACATAGTCCTGTGTTTATGTTCCTCTCCTCTGTTTTTTAGCTACAATATAAAAACATAACTGCTCAAATGGCAACGTTGGTCAGTCGGTCCGTCACTTTTCATCAGCTCACGTTTTTAATTCATGCACTACTGTGAATTTTGTGTGATCAAATACCTGCTCAAATAATGACATTCCCATCAGCCTCAGCTGTACGTTGTTTAGTGCTAGTAATAAATGTTAGCGTAATAACATAATAATAACTAAATAATATGGCGAACATGAGTAGTACACCTGCTAAACATCAGCATGTTGGCATGCTGACATTAGCATTTCAAACAAAGCACTGCTGAGAATAAGCACAGCCTCACAACACACTCTACGTCTTGTTGCTCACCCCATGTGACTGTCTCCCTCCCCACCAGATGATAGTAGTAACAGCTAGTGTTGCAGCATGGCACTGGCACAGGACAGACCTGCAGTCAGCACCCACAGGTTACCTGCCATTGCATCATAGGTGCGTGCCCCTGAGGCCGTGATGCAGAGCAGGCTGCTCCTCCCTCCAGACCTGCTCCTCCCTCCCTGTTAGCACCCGTTTCCTGGATGCTCTCAACAACTGCACAGCTGTTGCTGCCTCCAGCACACAACTCTGGCCTGACTTCTATTTATGGCCGTCTAATTGTGAATAGAGATGTCAGCACATGAAAATCACTTGTTCTGGGCGTTATCTGTTACAGTTGTCTCTTCAGTTCAATAACACTAAGGTCACAGGCACTGATGTGTTGCTACATACCAAACCTTAAATTGGCCTTATCTCAAGGCAAACCATCATTTTGATTGAAGTATTCGTGTACTGCTGAAACCCTCTGAAAAATCTCAATTCATTCAAGTACCTGAGCACATGTTGATTGTGGTTCCTAGTTTCTTTATCCAGTAAAGGATCTGAAACCCCTCCCACCCAGCAGTGTCCTCATTAGTGCTGTGTTCTGGTAGTTTGGCCAGACAGCGGCCTTGCCTCGCAGGCTCTAGCATCAGTGCGTCTCAGGGCTCAGCCCTCTCTGCATTTGGCCTCGGCTCAGCTGTCAGTCTCGCGGCTCCTGCTGTGTGTTAGGTTGTTGGTTCTGTGTGATTGAAGCTATGCGACCCCTGCCCGGATGAAATCCCTTAAACAAGTGTGAGGGTTTAGAATGCCGTCGAGCTGCTATTTCGAGGAAGATGAGATGGAAGGGGTGACGGCACGGAGCGGAGGCTTGGGATGTCGCAGAGGTCTCAACAGCCATCAATTTGTCAGGATGTCTCCAGGCCCGGGTGTAGGCTGTCATATCCACCCACACACATGAGAGAGAGATTAGCAAAGTGGTTTTGGCATGAGTTGGACGCTAATGTATTTTTTAAAAGGGAAGGTGCCGGCCTGCTAGTCACGCTTTTTAAAAGATGATGTTGTTGGCTCTTGTTTGTTAATCATTAATGTGGGGCCAGGTTGTATCCAGGGAAGACAATGAAATATAGTATGCTAAATACATCCCCTTACGTTCTGCAGTAATGACCTAACAGCATATTAAACTTCCTAATGTTCTGCGCCTCCTCTCACTGCCTCTGTGGATCTCAAGGCAGAGCAAAGAGTTGAGCCATTTGTCTCAAGCATGGTTGTACCAATCCAGATACCTTGCTGAAGAAGGACCATCAACCAATCAATACACAGGCCTATTAACCCTGCAGGCTCAACGTGAGATTAGCAGCACATTAAAAAATGCAAACAGTAAATACAGCTGCACGGCGCTAATGAGCTGTGGTCCACTGCAGGACAGTAACGACAAAGGTGAGATGAAAAACCCAGTACTGGTATTTTCATGTTATCACATTATACCAGATCAGAGTTGTAGCCAATCTGATGATTACATGCTGCAGTGTAGCTTTAACCACATAGGGAGATACAAATCAGGAGTGGTGCTGTTTGTGTGTGTGAACAGAAGGAGATGGCTCAGCCCGGGATAATGAGTTATCCCCCTAAGCCCCTCGCTGGGTCCCCTGACATCCAGCCTTAATGAATGGCTTTCCTGTGCGCGCACACACACACACACACACACACACAGCTGACCCTCACAAAGCCCCCCTTCACCTCTTAAATCCGGCCTCTAGCTTTTACCTCCCCGACCAGCCGGGGAGAGCCTCATTCTCCGCCGCAATGCTCCACCGCAGAACGCGCGCTAGTTAGGAGCCATAAGACTACTGAAACGTAGAGAAACAGCAGGGCTCTGCATTCTGAGTAACCCAGGCGGGATTTGCGCTTATTTGTTTCCAGGGATGAAGGAGAGTGACAAATGAACCCTCACGGGAGGGAAGCTAGCGTATACACTCTTCTTCTTCTCTCCTTCCCGGCTCCGCCCGGCCCCGGAGTCTTCATTAGGACCAGAATAGACACCCCTTTTTTTGCATGTTAGCACATTCTTAAAACAAGCCGTGGACCTCGGGGACTGAGAGGTGCAGCGGGAGACTTGAGAAGTGGGAATTTCCCCTCTCCCCGTCTGCTGCGGTGAAGTTGTTTGCGAGCAGCAGTCTATCTTGACCGGTAATAGCGTTTGTAAGTGGAGAAGATTGACACGGGTGAGGGGGATGGATTTAAGGGCTGCTGGGCTTTCCTGTTCAGGGATGCGTTCTGTGTGCGGATAGCCAAAGAAGAGATATCCGTAAGGATTAGTTCGCTTTGGAAACTGCCACCTCTCTGCATTATGAGGGGACTTCTCTTATTTGTGCTTGTCCAAAGTCGACTAACAGAGCCTATTACAAAAACACTTCAGTCTGGCAGAGTGTGTCTTTTGTCTCCCGACAGGCTGGCAGATGTCCCTGTAAGCACTCCCACACAGAGCAGGACTCAATAGCTGTTATTGTAGATATTGATTGCGATTTTGCACCAGGAATTACCTCCTCTGACCCTTAACTACGATATCACATGCACCAGGGGATTGGTAATACCTCGCTTTGCATTGTAATGCTAATGGAGGAAGGTTCTGGCAGGGCTCTGTTAGCTCAGCCTGCTCCCGGTGGGGTTGGTCTGGAGGGAATAGTGTGTCAGGGAGATGGCAGCCCGCTGTGACAGGCTGCAGCCCAGGAGAACTGGGTCCCATCCACACCTCTTTGGCAGGTAAAGGATTTAGCTGGCTTCCCTGAGGGAGGGGGGGGGGCTTCGCTCCTGCCCCTAAGCCCCCCTGAGGCTTTGGGAGAGTTAATTACAGTTTATGTATGCACTGTCATCCCCCATGAGCCTCTTTTCCTCTGGAGCAGCCAAGCTGACTGCTGATCTCTGAGCACTTTGTTCTGTAGGAGAAACACCCTGCTGAGAAACACCCTGGACGGAGCTTATTAGCTATTGTTCTGTGCGACTTCAATATTATACAGCCGTTATTATTCATTCTCCGTATTAATTCACACTTTGTTCTTAATGGAGCCCAACAGGGCTTCTAATGGCAGATAATTGCTGTTTTTGGCAATTACTGAAAGTCCATAAAATGAATCCTCACCTTGTCAGACAGAAAGCTAAATGCACAGCCATCCTTCATGCTACGTGGTAAAACACATTAATGCTTGCAGCGTTCTCATCCTGCCTTGTCCTTATCCTGTTCTAATATAGCAGTCATCACTCTGAAGCCTGTTTGCATTTGGTAAAGGAAAAACACCAGTATTTCAAAAGGTAATTTGAAATTTAAGAATTACTGTGTCGTTTTTATTTGGATAAAGGGACTTCTTGACCTGGGGAGGAATGAAAGAGAAGAAAGAGCGTTTTGAAGTATCTGCTATATGCAAATGTCCATGCAAACCTGTATGTTGTTTGAATGAGTCAGCCACAGTTCTATACACAATAGATCTCAGCTGCGCCAGTCAGTGGGAGGTACATGCTGAAATGCCTCATGAACAAATCGGACCAGAATATATTTAATTTGTCCGGCAAATGGAAGTTCTTTCATACAGGGGGGGGGGGGGAAGAGAAGAGAAAAAAACAGCTAGAACCTTGAAATGAAGGTGACGTTGTTTTGTGTACGATATAAACTGATTCAGCCTGAACAAGAAAAACACATTTCAGCTGTGTAGTTTGTCCCTAGGGACGGTGTTAAAGGCTGCATGAAAGGGCTCAGGAATTGGTGCTTGTGCCGGCACAGCTGCAAACCCCAGAAGGGTGTGTCGGTAGGAGGAGCAGCAAAAGATGTGTCAGTTTGTCAGCTCAAAGCACACACACAATATGCAGTGGAGATGGTGGTTAGAATGACCAAGGTCTACCAAAGGCCTGTACCTCACACACACACACACAACCTTTGTGAGAGCTAGAAATGAATGCAGTGTTTCTGCATGAAAGGAGGTCATGCTCACGGAGCTGAGCATCTCTGCTTGGTGTATGTTCACTGAAAGCCACGCTATTGATTGGGTGTTAGCAGCTTCTAATCCAGTAAAATTGCATGTTGGAATGGACCACCAGCTTTGAAACTAAAGATGTTTTTTCTCTTTCTGTTTTACACAGTTCCAGATTTTGGCATCCATGTGCTCTCCACCAATTGCAGCCAGGAGCCTCACGGGCCAGGCCTCCTCCAGGTGTCAGGCCTAGAGCGCAGTCAGGAGAGGAGCCAGGAGACCTGCAGGGACCCCCAACCCCCTGCATCCAGCACCCCCAGTCAGCCTCTGCCCCCCCAAGCCCTCCCCCTGCCCCAGCCGGCCGTCCCCCGGCCCCTTACCCCTAAACGGACCCAGACAAACGGCCCTGCCCAGGTTCCGGCCTCCACAAACCTGCCCCCACGCTCAGAGGCTCTCCCCAGGCCTCAGACGCCCGCAGCCCTGCCTCTCGCTCAGGGCCAAGAGCGCTCGCCTCCCCCCCCCCCCCCGACACAGCACCTGCCCGAACTGCTGTCCCACCCCCGGCCTCCGCCGACGCCCAGCCTTCACCCACACCCGCCGTCGCCTGCCCTCCCCACCCATCACCCTCACCAGCAGCACCCCAGCCAGGCCGGGCCCCACCGGCCCCCATCACGCTGCCACCCCCGGCCCCTTTCTGCCTACAACGGCCACAGCCTCAACGGTCACAGGTAAGGCTGATAACAGACAACCTCACACATCGGCGCATCACTTTGTTATAAAAAACACTCACGTCTCTCATGTCCTCATGCGCTCTGATGCAGGAAATTGTGTACAGCGCAGTGCAGGCAAAACCTCCATATTCACACACACTTGAAAATACTAGAATATCTCTTGAGCTGGAAGTACGCATGATGCCCGATCAGTATGTAAATTGCTATCAGGGAGAGCTTGAAGTTCCCTGAGCCAAACAGTAGCACTGATTATTAACAACGGAATAAAAGGGCCATACTGCACCCTGAGTGCCTGTGATTTATTAGCCACCCACATTGTCACTGGGGCTCTGTATAGATTCCAGGCCCGAAACCCCCCAATTATACTGGCTGTATGTGCGATAGCTTAGTTCAACCTTGAATTTTATTGTCGTGCTTGAGAGCAGGAGGGAAATGGGCTCAGGGTGGTGATATTCGTCATGGAAAAATATTTAATACTTCAGATTGCTGGAAGTTTTAAAGCATCCTCAGCGTTATTCCACTTTGTATGTTCCAAATACAGCATGATCACAGTTATTATTCATATTATTTAAAAAAACAACAGTAGAGCTAGTCTGTTGTCTGTCTGTTGAGAGGCACTGAGCCCTATGAAGCTCTCTCCATTAATTTAAGACTCCAGGATAGCTCCTTCAGAATCCACTCAGTCCCAACAACAGCTCTGCCTCGCAGGCTCTCAGGACTTGGCTTTGCCTCCCTCTCCCTGTGCCAGCCCTGCCAGTCTGCCAGTGCGCCAACAGGGCCTGGCACCCGCTGTGAATAATCACGGCCGGGGCCCACAGCGGAGAGCGGGCGCTGCAAAGGAGCTTTTAGGCTTGGCGCGCGGAGCTGTGGAGACGCAGGCTCTGTGACTGCCCCCGGGGAAAACCCACACACACTACAAAAGACTGTTTGCTTACACATGCATACACGCCCTCTCACTCTCATCCCATTTCCGATGCACATGTTCCCTACCTGGCTCTGGAGGAAGTGCCTTAACAGAAGCCGTTCAAAGACAGATGCACGTTCTGTTATGCTTGCCAGCGGTGGTTTATTTGCATCCGAGGGTGTTGTGGATGTGGTGTTTTTGCGGATCGTGTTTGCCCTGGATTCTGTGAAGCGCAAGGGAAAGGCAGGGAGGCGTTTGTAAATGGGGGACAGTTGAGGTGTGAAAACACTGTGCTGGGAATTGAGCGTCGGAGCAGATGGAGATGAGGGGATCCGGAGGAACAAGTGTTAATTTTGACTGATCACGCCTGGCTTAACCTGGCTCCCTTCTCCGTCTTTCTCTTTTTTTTATCTCTCTCTTTACAGCAGCAGCAGGAGCAGCACCCCAGGCACCAAGCCCCACGGGCCCCCTGCTCCCTCTTTGCACCTCCCCCACCACCCGCCTCCTCCTGCGGCGGCGGCAGCAGCAGCAGCCTCCACCTTCCCGCTGCCCTTGGCGGCTAACCAGAGCACCCCCCACAGCTGCCCCCCTGCCTTGCAGTCCTCGCCGCACCCACATCACCCCAATATGTTCGCTCCTCCAGCAGCCTTGCCTCCACCACCACCACTTACGTCTAGCACCCTGCCAGTACCCGGACATCCTGCTGCTGGGAGTGCCTACTCAGGTAAATAACACAAGCTGCTTCCAAACATCCCCACATCGCCCCCAAGTGATGTGGCAGAGGATTGCACATTCAGCTGACAAAAAGCAACATAAAGCGGACTCTTATTTTAGCCAGTTGTTGCATCAGCTTGCCTGGACTGTCGAGATACATGAGAAGTACATGAGGAATAATTTCAGCAGCATTTGAGATGCAGAGACACATAGAATGTTACTCTGGTAATTATTTTAAGAAACAAGCAACCGAGTCCAAGATGAGCCACATGTACTCATGCCAGCGGTTTATAGTCGTGTGGACAGCTCACACTCTTTCTGTCATGCTGTGATTGATCAACTCTCTACACACCAGTAATATCCACCAGCAGGTCAGGCCACATTGCAAAAGCGATTACGTCCACGCAGTGCCGTCGAGCTAAATGTCAGGGTCAGTGTGGGAAGAGGAGGGGGGGGGCTCACCTTTAGCAATGTTCCCAGAACTTCCATTTTCACCTTGAGCAGTGTTCATGTGCAGAAAAAAATCAATTTGGTCAATACGGAACGGGGCGCGCTGGATTTTGTTCAAAAGATACTAATGAAATTTTTATGAAGAGAAAATTCCACCCCCACTCCAACAAAGCTTCAAATGAATGCAGAGAAAATATTGTAGTGAGTCACTGTGGAATAGGAAGGATAAGGTTACCCTGGAGCAGATATAATCTCTCAAGGCACGTTTTGTTGAATTTAGAAGAAAAGCCAGTGATTACTTGAAATCCATTCCTTCTCCACAGGCTGTGCAGAGGTTATTAGAACAACAGATGTTGTTGTCTCAGAGGGCCTGCAGTGTATCAAATCACTGCATTTGACAGTTCCAGCAGTCAGACACTTCTAATCATCTCGGGCCTCGCTTACATTTAAAATGACATGCTGATAATCACAGCCATTTCCTGGTTCGCTTTTTTTGTAACTTTGACACGGCTTCCTTTCTTAAGACATACGTAGCTCTCATATTGGAGTCCAGGGCCCTCCTATGTGTCTCTGAGGGGGGGAAATTAGGAATAATGTAGTTTCACTGAAATTAAATTTATAAATTAGAGACGCATAAATAACAAGTGATATTATATTTGTGTCTTCCAGAACTTAACTTTCACTACAGCGTAGCTTAGACGTCATTACCAAACCCAGTCCTGATGCTCCCCTCTCTTTCTTTCCTTCTCCAGAGCAAGAACTCCTGCGCCAGGAGCTCAACACCCGTTTCCTGGCCTCCCAGAACGCCGACCGTGGCGCCTCGCTGGGCCCTCCGCCCTACCTGCGCACAGAGTTCCACCAGCACCAGCACCAGCATCAGCACCAACACACCCACCAGCACACCCACCAGCACACCTTCACGCCCTTCCCCCACGCCATCATGCCCACCCCAGCACCGCCCATGGTGCGTACCCCTGCCAGAAATGTGAGGATAAGTAGAACACACCTGTATTGGGTTGGAGGGGGTGGAGACAAAATGTTTTCAACGCATGTGTGGAGGAGTTTTTACCTTGTGATTTTGAGGGTGAAGATTTGACACAGTTCGACGTGTGTGTGTGTGTGAGCGGCATGCAAGCCCGAGGCTTTTTGTGGCTGCCAATGATGACCATGTGTGTCAGTCCACACTATAATCATGCCTTTATTTTCCCAGAAAGTTTTTCTAGTGTTTTCTTTGGCATACTCTCCGACTCCAGACTTGAGTCGCCGTTATTTTCTAAATTGGCAATAACTCGCCCGAAGCATGTTAACTTCAGAGCCAGCTTTCAGAGCACAATACACTTAATTCATTCTGAATTTAATGACATCATTTGGTCCCATTTGGGGGTTTTCATTACTGGCAAATGTCTTGCATTAAGAGCCCCACTGCTTGTTGGGGGAGACCACAGGCAATGGGCGACTGGACCTAAAACTCAAACAAACACACACACACACACACACACATTCATAACTGTCTGGCCCATAGAGGGTTCCCTTGGCTCTGATGATACCTCAAAGGCAGCACGGCGAGGCCTCTGACAGCTAATGAGGCCATAAAAAGGCTCTTTATGGCTGCAGTGTTTAGTCTTGACTGGGGAAATGTTCGCCCTGAGCCTTCACAGCACCACTAAAATGAGACACAGAACCCACAAAAAGGTCTTCAGATGATTAGGAAAAGGGCAGGATGAAAACAGACTTGTTTGTAAAATCTGTAGAACTTTGAATTTTAGTTTAGATCTTAAATCATAGTGTCAATCTGGAAGCATGTTTTTATTCCTAAAAAAAGACTGATGAATTTTGTATCGGCCTGAAAGAGGTCAATGCTGTTACAGGTTCTCATGTTTTCCCTGCAACTTTGTACTGAGCTCTGTTTCATTTCTCCTACAGTTTGAAAAATACCCATCAAAAATTGACCCCTTCTACAGACACAGTGTAAGTTTCCCTACAGCGTACAGTGTTGCTTACCCATTTCAGCCCTGTGTGTGTGTGTGTGTGTGTGTGTGTGTGTGTGTGTGTGTGTGTGTGGGTTTCCATGCAATTGCTCATCCACTTCCTGATGGACACTGTAAGCATCCTAGCTGTACCATGTCACCCTTTAGCCCCGGCAAATGTGTTTAATGAAGGAGCGCTGGACTTTTAGATCTCGGAGCACAAGATTTATTGTGCTCCTACTTTTCATTTGTATTTGCCTGCTAACAGTAGTGGCTTGCTCACTATTATCACTCACTTAAGGGGACTTATTGGAAACATTGGAGCCCACTCTTGTACCGTGTTTGCTAAAGCCTCCAGACACCTGCTGTTTGTGCCTGCTGCACAAATTTGCTTTCCCTCCAACCTGAGTTTTGAGGAAGATTTTAATATCAGAAAAATCACGCGTTTGTCAAATAGATGTTGCAGAATGTTGTTACTTTGTTTGTATGTGCTTCATTTTAGTATTTCCTCGCTGTTATTATGATAGCAGCAAATACCCTGAAGCCATTTCCTCTCTGTAAAGCATACTGACATCTTAAAATGTAATGCACAAGGAGAAACAAGTTGCATTTAAAAAATCTCACAGCAGCCCCTCTAGTGCTTCTAATAATAACTCATCCTGGCAACCCAAGTTTAAATAATTCTGTTGCACCATCCATGATTAAAGGGATGCAAGTTCAGAGACATGAAAAACGTTCCCCACTGCCACTAAATGTTCATTTGATTGACAAGAAAAATGTTAGTGACTCCTTGATTACCTATCTGTTTCTCCACAGGATAGCTTCATGGAAGCCTTCAGCACTTGTTTGGTTTACATGGGTTTTTGCTTGTATTACAACATTCGAGTTTTCACATCAAAGTAGTGTTTTTCCCTTATTTAAATCCACCCAGAATGAGCCGGGAATATTTTATAAACTTGCAGTTTATGAAACATAGGCAATCATTTACAACTTTCCCCATCCAAGCAGTCTTGGTAAAAAGATTGAATGTTGAGGTTCATCCGTCACTGAAACATGTCTGTTCCATCTCCACTGCCCTACATTGCTGTTGTCCTGCATTTCCTTGACAGACCCAACCATCCTCACGCCTCTTCTTCCTCTTGTCTCCCTTAGCTCTTCCATCCCTACCCACCGGCCATGTCTGGCCTTCCGCCCGTCATCCCCCCGACCGGGCCTTTCGGCTCACTGCAGGGCGCCTTTCAGCCCAAGGTAAGACACACAGGGACACCCCCCCCCACACACCCACGTTCTCACACACAAACTGAAACTAGGAGTTATTTACAGCGATTCTTGTTTTCCATCTGTGTTTCCATCTCTCTAGACCTCTAATCCACTTGATGTGTCCACAAGACCAGGAGGCGTCCCACACACATTCTTACAGAAGGACCCCAGGGTAAGGGCACGCACACACACAGACACACACACACACTAACAGACAACACTCGCAGTGCAGAGGTAACCTTTGAATCTTCTGCTTATGTTGCATAAGACATTGAGTCATCAGATGGAGGCTTTAACACCAAATGATGTCATTGTCAAGACTTTATATGCAGTTAGTTTATAGACAGCACAGACGGTGGTCTGTATTCATTTGTATGCAGAAGGTCACACAAGACGAACCCCTGTGTTAATTACTCCTGAAAGGCTTCATTTTAAAGGGACATTTTAACATTTTAATTTGCTTCATAATGAAAGCCACACACTGAGACTAATTAGAGGCGATCTGACTGACAGCAAAATAACTCAACCTATTTTTATTGCCTCCTGTAGCTAACGGATCCATTCCGGCCCGTTCTCAGGGTGAGTGCTCACTCCCTGCAGTGTCTCAGTCTCCTGCACACACACACACACACACACACACACACACACACACACACACACAC